AACTATATTGCTTTAACGAGTTAGCCAATCGTTGCGGCCCTAAACAATTTAGCATTTATCCTTTTTATTTTGAGTACTATATATGTTTTCCTTTCTCCTTCCACAAAAAGAAAAGGAATAAAAGGCTATTAATCATTCATGTATATATACTAGAAAAGAAATAAAAAGAAGTGAGAAACAAGAATTGCGATGTTTGAAACATTTGAATACCATCATGACATCACAGAAGATTAATTCTGGGAGAAAGTATATATAAACAGGGCCAAAACAAAAGAAGAAAGCTTTATCAGGCATTTGAATAAACAAGGCAATGATTACAGCCACTAATGACTTCTTTTGATAAAATAGTAAGGATTATTAATTTTCTTAATCAAGTAAAAAAGGCTGATATCTTGCTTTTCTGATTTAGCTAGTTGAATTGGTCAAGAAATTGCTTCAACATCAGCCATAGGAATGTTGCAATTGCCCTTGCTATATAATAGAGTCGAGTTTTGACAGCTGATATGCTGAAAATCAGTTGAAAAAGAAATGCAATATCATCCATGTATATATAATAGTAGTATCATTACAGACGTTTCTTATTAGAGTTTCAATTAATGGTAATTAATCAAATGCCTTGTAATTATTCCTCATGAGCAATTGCTTTCTGAAGATCTGCAATTTACCTCCTCCAAGCCAAGTATGGCTTCCCCGTTCTCTTCTTCCTCTCCCTTGGAACCAAGTAAGACAGTACTTCTTCTTCCTGAAAATGCAAGCCAAATATGCACGAACTTAATTTACGACCTTTGGATTTGCTAAAATAACCAAAGTACTAAGGTGGGTTATAAGATTAAGAATGAACATTCATTTATACTACAGATTTTTAAATCAAATTTGCTGTATTACTCTTTAAATGATATTTAGATTAATACAGCTATATTTAAAAAAAAAAACAAAAACATTTACACACCAATGATGGTATATATGCATGCATTTATGTATGCAACATACAATGTTCTTAATGACAAGGCAAATATCTCAAAAAGTTATAGTAATTAAAATGATTAGATAAGTATACCCAAACATCAATAGATAGATCCTATCCAAATGCAATAAATCAACTTAAAAGGGGCTAAATTAAAAATTGGTGATGCAAATTAATTGCATGACATGATCTTTTTCTTTCAAAAAGTAACTAATATATATCATTTTTGGGATAGCAGAGTATAAATTTTTTAATTTTAAAAACTTATAATTAGAGATTTACCTTGAAAAGTACACATTCTATATGAGCGACAAATAATCCTTGACATTCTTCACAGAAATATATATGATCATTGGGATGTCTTCTTTTTTCACAAACATCACAATAATATTCTCCTAAATCATCTTCGATAAATGAATCTTTAAAAGTGAAAGGATGGACATGGCTTTTAGATTTCACAATTTGAGGAAGTAGCACACACTCCAGATGAAAATTGATACGACACTCTAGACAGCGGTAGAAGGCTTGTCGACTACAAGTTTCGCCACAATGACTACAAAAATATCCAGCGAAGATATCGATGAAGTCACAGTACATGGCGAAGAACCGAAGAAACTCTGTTCCAAAATAGTAAAGATCGTGCATGTGAGACTCACGTTTCAGAGCCCGTCTTAGGGAATCAGCACATGTAATATGAATGCTGAAGTGGCACTCTTCGCAGCTATAGCCATAGCCAGCGGATAAAAGCTTTAGTGCACAAGCATGACAAAATCCATATCTCGTGTAGCTCAAAACCAGTATGTGCTGCGGATGAATTGGGCCTTGCATCACTTGTGGTAATCTAAGACAAGATTCATGAAGAACCCAACCACAGCGAAAGCAGTAGTAAGTTGGACCAAAGATTTGCAGTCGACAGAAATTGCATCGTCTTTCATATGTAGGGTCCCTAAAATTGCAAAAGACTAGCTTATGCCTGTGGCTGAAATGAAATAACTCGGTTTCCCTCTCTGCCTCTTTCAATGTAGAGAGTTCACTTTTAGGAACTGCTCGCATCGCACACTTCACATCAAGCTTGAAATCACACTCCTCACAAAGATAAATGAAGCCAGGGGAAATGTCTCCGCACTCATCACATATAATGAAATCTACCATATGAGGAGATCTGGTATAGAGGTTGAGACCATGGTGGGAGTGAAGAGGGTGTTGTATCTCATTAGGTAATTGAGAGCATTTTTCATGTAGATAATAACCATGAATGTAGAGAGGGCATTCTTCACAGATGTAGCCAGGACCGCTAAGTATTAAACGGCAAGCTCTGCAATATTGGGGTTCAAACTTTTCAGTTGCCTCGCAGAATTTCAACGGGTGTTCATGGATGAGAGGTCGAACCTGCATTTTAAAACATCTCCATATGTAAAACAAAGACGATGCATTAATTATCATGTAACCATTTAATATAAACACAAAAATCAATATTGAAATTATGAATAAAAGTGAGTGGCTGTTATTGCTAGT